TTTTCAAATTGCTGTTGGTGGTGTTACATTTTCAAAAGGTACAAGGGGTCTAAGTTATGGGGTTTAAAGTTTGGGTTCTCGTGGGCAGTTTTACAAGGCAGGCACCGCTACTCAGAGTCATGCAAATGTCCTGTTGATGCAAATCCGATTTGATGCTTTGGTGCAGAACAAACTAACAGAAGTTCTTACAGTTCAAAGCCAACCAACAGAGCAGGACTGGGGTGAGCCCAGGACGTCTCATTTGACAGAGGGCAATTTGCAGAGAAAAGTGAAATGAATATAAGTTGGTTCCTAAGCTATAATCCATTCGCTGAAGCTTCAGAACTCCTCTCCACACTGGCAGCAAGAAGGGAACTTTCCCACGTGGAAAAAAAAAAAGGAATTGGGAATGTTGGCCCAGGACTGACGACATCTGTTTTGTAAAGTCAAGAAAAAAAGGCACTTGTCCTGTTTCCAGTTACTGCTGAGGTTGGACCTTTGGTTTAAAATAAAAGTGCTTCTGCTTGCAAAAACTGATCAAATGTGAGTTATTGACTCATGTAAGACATCCCTGCAACACAACGCTGTCGCAGTCTCCATCTAAAGGTCAAAGGTCAGCCCTTTAAGGAAACCCTAGTAGCCGACAGCCGCGTGGTTCCACTCGGTGCCAGATGAGCTCATCTGCTTGTTTCTTTTTTTTCCCTGAGAATCTTTTTGTTTGATCGCTTCTGACACGCAGAGGCTTTATGTCTGAAAACATCTGGCTCGGCTGGGAATCCTCCCAGATGAGTTAACAGGAGCAGTTACTGAGGCTGACACGGTGGTAGCAATTCTCATTAACAGATAACAAATGCTGCCTTCACTGCATGGCGGAAATCGTCAAGTGTGTTGGAAAGTTTATCATCTCCTCAGGTTAGCCGGAGCAGGGGGCTCTGGAAGTCTTTTGTTTCAAAGTTCTGATTCACTCAGTGACTCTGCTGTAGTCTCTGTAGTAATGGTTGTCTTGTGAGTGGGTTTCCGTGGAAATGCAGCTCTGGCGCTCCTTCTTCATGGGCTAGAAGCTTGTTGGAGGAGTGGGCTGCAGGAAACAAGATTTCATGATGTGCAAATGTCTCACCTCTGATTGGCTAACAGCAACACAACTCTTCCATCACCTTTGTTAACACTTAGAATGCTGTAAAGCACATTTCTTGAGTAAAAGTGATGTCACACCGAGTGGGGTATTGATGAGATGTATAGGAGTCAAATAACTTTAAAAAGTTTTACCTGACTTATTTAACCATAACTGTTAATAACAGATAAAGATAAATAGACTAAAACTAATATAGTGGTTGGCCACGCCCATTGTTAAACGGGCTATTATCGGTATTAACATTTGTGTTCAACAACCAATAGTCGGAGTCACGAGTCTCAGAAGCTTTTATTTTGTAGATCCAAGTTTTGGGAACCACTTTTCTAGATGTGCCTTTGTTGAATTTGCTCAAACTTCTGGTTTAATGAATCCAGGTCGGTGTTTGTGAACAATTTTAAAATATGCAATCACAGTTTTTCTCATCGCCTTGATGCTAATCACTGAATTAGAAAGGGAAAGGCCCTGTTCACACTGGATTAAGATCTCATCAGTCTCTCATCACCTCAGACTGCAGCACATTTAGAAAATCTCCATTTCAGGATGCTGCTAGGCTGTTAACATTCCTCACAGAAAAGTTCCCCTGGGATGCTCTTCTGCACCTTCACTGTGATCCATACTTCTGGCTTATACATCACAACAATTCAATCACATAATCCCACAATGCTCCATGACCCAACCTGGCACAGCCCTCTCAGACTGCATCGGGTACATGTGAAAGGATGAGCCCAGCATCACCATATGATGTGGTTGACACAGAAGCCTGAGACCAGCCTGGCCAGTCCTACTTCACTTTACAAGGCCACTCAGGTGCTGGCTGGCCCCATGCATGCACCACTAACACAGTAAACTGGAATGGTGGTGATGATGGCGTATGCATGCTCAAAACCATCATTAAGCAGTTAGACTCTGTCAGAGGGGTCAGAACTAAGGCCAGAATCATCAAGTTAATAGTCTTTTTACATCTGTGCTCTTCAAAATGAGTCCAAAGTAGGAATATTAGTCAAAATCTGACCCAAAAAACCCATTCATCTACATCAACAGCCTGCCGGAGAGACAAAACGCACCTCTTTAATTGTACAAGTGATCGTCACACAAAATCACTTCAAGGGCCTTGCATAACCCCCTGGACTGCACATTGGACATGCCTGCTGCACATGTGATGGGATGTCCACCATACTGTTATAGTTATAGTTATAATAGTGGTCTACTCCGAGCCCCTACCAGATGACGAGCTTCTCACCCTATACCTTGCAGAGAAAACTCATTTTGGCCGCTTGTATCCGCGATCTTGTTGTTTCGTCACTACCTAAAGCCCATGACCGTAGGTGAGGGTAGGAAAGTAGATCAACCGGTAAATCGAGTACTTTACCCTCCACCTCAGCTCTCTTTTCACCACGACAGACCAGTACAACGCCCACATCAGTGCAGACGCAGCACCAATCCGCCTATCGATCTCATGCTATAATACCTCTATGGTCAATATAAACCAAGTTAATGAAGACATTTCCATGAAACTGCTCTCACATTAAGCCATTTCAGCAGTTTTTTTCTAGACATTTTCAGCACCTTCCAGAATGAGCTTTTTCAGGCCTCTGTCACGTTAAAGTACCAATGGGCAGTTTTTACTCTTAATCTCTGTAAACATCCATCAAAATATTGTTGAAAATGAATTAAATAATACTCAGTTGTTGAAAAATATTTCCGGCTTCGTAACATATAATCACAAAAATTGGCTCTAAAACACACGGGAGTGGGGCTAAGTCTCTGGGCGACGCCATATTAAGCTTGGTTTATGCTTGACGCATTCACTTTCCGCGCGGTGATGCGGCTCGCGGATGGAATACGCTTCAAAACTCGCAGCGTTTATGGTTCATGCGGCTCATCTCTGCGGTGAGCCAATATTCTCCCAAACTGAACGGGGCAGCATGGAGCTCTACGGCAAGCATCCAACACTACACCATAGTAGAAGTAGAAATGACTGTTTACAAAATGGCATGTCAGCATTTTTAACAGCGTCCTCGTCTTTTCCGACAGTGCGAGCTATTTCTCTCCAAGAATTATTAACAACATGTTGATCACGGTGATCTCTGAGAGCTGAATCATACAAATGTCTGTATTTACGAACCTCTGCCGTACTAGTTCTTGCCGGTCCGCCATGTTTATCCGCGTCCGTCCGTCCACGTGGTTAGAAATTTTCCGAGGTGCGCGTTGCGGAAATTCTGGGCCGTGCGGAGGCGCGGTGGAGGGGCGTGGTTGTTAAAATGACGCAACTTTTCCACACGGAGCCGTGCCGACCTCGCGGACGCGTCAAGCATAAAACAACCTTTAGACACCTTGTTTCTAAGGGAGCCTGTGAGGACAAAACGCATTTACTGATTTGTAACAAGTAGTTACAAAACGTTCACCTTTCATAAACGTTGTCGATTTACACAATTACTTCTTCACTTGTTCCCAGTGATGAAAAAGAGCCTGATGTGCTTTTCATTTTGCTGGAGGTTGTGCTCCCAGGGATTTTTGACTCTAATGGCCACCCGTTGGTACAAAATATGCCATCACAGTTTGGCATATTTTAAACCCTAAAATACTGCTATCTGGGAGGGGAATAATGTAGAGCAGCTGCTCTCCTTCTATGCAAACTTCCTCATTTGTGAATTACAAACGGTGACTTTTTGAAACGACTTGTTTCAGGCACATAATTCCCAAAAAGAAACACTGACAGAAAATTAATGGAAGGATGTTTTTCACATTTTGAGTGTTTATAGAAGCAATAGAGACCCACATGGCTGCAGTAAAGGATGCAAAGGGGGAGTGTTGCAGGTTATGGCAGATTTTTTACTTTACAGCAAAGTCTTGATGTGGTGGAAAGAGATCTTTATGCAGAAAGATCTACTGAAGTATTTTGTAAAGTGAAACATGGCCCAATTCCAGAAACTAAAACTTTAAGGCCCACACTCTCCTCCATCACTTCAGGCCCGCTTCTCTCTGGATAAACTGGCGCTTGCAAAATATCTAAAAATCTTACAAGAGAAGATAACGAGTTGTGTGATGATGAGTTATGATCCAGCCCGGAGCTGTTTGAGTCCAGGTCATGCAGAATAAAGCGATGTGGGACAAGCTCTAAGGGAGCAGAAAACCAGCTGTCCATCTGGCAAACGCGTGTCACCTCAGACCCATCTCACACATCCCAGAGTCCCAACGCATACTGCTGTTGCACAGCGGCTGTAAATCATCCAGGCCTCAGTGGCTGGCATCATGCACATTATGGACGCAAGCAGAAAAATCTGTAGAGGGAGGGGGTATAAAACAGTACGGCAGAAGAAGGGAACGAGTACAATCTCCTTCATCCGAAACATTTTTCTGAAGGTGGAGACAAGCCGGTGACTCAAACTTTCCACATAAAGGCTGAATCTCGACACGAAGCGACTGCAGCCAGACCCAGATTTCAATTAAGCACAACTATCGGGCTGAACGGATGACTTATTTCTATCTGATCACTGGCTAAACCAGCCCCGCCTCCCACTCCTTTCTTCATAAGGGAAAAAAGTGGTGCTCAATAAGAAGAACTACTCTCCCTATGTGGCGAGTCCGCAGGAATAAAAGGCAGATTTGATGTTTCTATTTTCAGTATTAATAGCAAACCTAACTAGACCTGTGAGCTTCCCTCCTGGCACAGCTTTGAGCCGAGTCCACATGGTCAGCTCTGCAGAAGGGTCATCACCTCTGATCCCCGAACTACCTGCTTTGTGAGTCTGAAGAAAAAAGCTGCTCTTCTAAAAAAAAAATCCTGCAAGCTTGGACACAATAACCGAAACCAGCATAAAATCCGATGCATCTAATGCATCAGATCAGTAGAAAACTGTCCGTCTCATGCATAAATGCATTTTCTCACCTCTATAAATGTATTCAGTTGTTCACCTGCAGGTAACATGTGCTGCTCCTCCAAATCCTCACAAATTCAGCCAAGCCACGGAAAGGATGCTCCACTCTCCTCTGCTGGCGCTGCGAGCAAGGTGGCAGCTCTTTCAGTCTTCCCTCAGCTTTATCTTCCTCCCCTCACAGCTCACACTCAGCTCCTTGTCTGACAGAGAGAGGAGAGTGAGTCAAAGAGGAGAGACGGGGAGTGTGTGGGAGGAAATGTCTTTGAAAGCCCAAGGGGTGTTATGGTCAGACACCCATTGCTTTAAACTCCAGCCCTTAAATAGCCGTCATTCTCTCTCCCTACCTCAGCTCGTCTGCCCTCCCTTCGCTGTAACTAATGGATGCAGAGCCGGGCTGCTGACTTTAAATGAGATGCCGCTGCTGCTGGGAGTCGAGACCTAAGGAGCGTTGCTTTGTGGTTGTGCGGCAAAATTAGAGAGGGAGAGCCGAGCAATGAGAGGAAAGTTGACGGTGGGCAGACATTTTTCTTCAACAAAAACTACCTTCTCTCTGATGACTTGTGTTTTTCTTTAGATTAAAGGATTTTACTCAGACTGTTGGGTTTTCTAAACACAAAATCCAGTTCTTAGTCCTAGTTGAGTTAAACAGAGCAAATGGTTCAGTGCCTCCATCTCAGCAGGTCAAGTTAAAGACGGCTTCTTTCTGCAGCACTCTTCTAGTAAAAATCAATAAATCAGTTAAAGCGAGACACAAATCTCTCTTGTGCTCTGAGAGAAAATGTTTTTATGCTCACAGGGCACGTCTACACTTAACAGATGGGATGAGCAGGAAACTGACACGCTCACGTTGAACGCCCCAGCCATCATGAATCTTGGAATAGAGGCAAGCTGCTGCATGAAATATGGAGCATCTTTAGTAATTGACCCCAAAAACTGCTCCGAAGTTCATCTCTGGGGAAGTGGGTTTCCATACGCTCCAATTTATTTTTAATGGGATTAGAAGCAGATGAAGCAAGAATCTGTGAAGTCTCTTCAGTGGGTCTGGGAGGCTGGTTGAGATATGCCATTTTTAGTAATGTTTGCATGTCATGTTTAATTCATGGGGTTTCTGGATCTAAACATGTGACATCTAACGGGTTGTTAAAGGTAGAAACTAAAAGAGTCACATTTTAGAAAGCTGAGAAATACCTGTTTTATTTATTTATTTATTCATTTATTGCAGTTAATCGAAGAGGATCAACTTTAAAATCTGACACGGTTCATTAAATCAGAACATTTTTTAAGCTCAAGCCAACCTCAGGATGTGGTCTGAAGGAGATCCGGAAAGAATAGAGAAACGTGGGTGGAAGAAAGTAAATGGGTCACACCGTGGCGCACTTTATTTGAGACGCCACATGTTTTTCACATGTAGCGTGCTCTAAAGTGCAACCTGCACAGTTTGGTGAAAAACGAATCCTCGCCTGCACCGCACAGCCACAGGAGCCACGCTGAACAAAAATATAATCACAACACTTTCTTTCTGCTTCCATTTCTCATGAGCTGAATGCAAAGATCTGAAACATCTTCTAAATACACAAAAGGCTCATTGCTCTCAAATATTACCTGTCTGAATCTGTTTTAGTGAGCACTTCTCTTTTTGTGAGATCATTCGTACCACCTCACAGGCGTAGCACATCAAGGTGCTGATTAGATAGCGGGAATATTTCACAGGTGCGCCTTAGACTCACAATAAAAGGTTGTGTACGCCGATCCAGAGCATCCCAAACATCCTCATTGGTTGACATGTCAGGTGAGTATGCTGGCCATGCAAGAACTGGGATGTTGACAGCTTCCAGGACTTGTGTGCAGATCCTTGCAACAAGGGGTCATGCATTATCATGGTGCAACATGAGAGGATGGTCATGGATGAAGGGCACGACAATGGGCCTCAGGATCTCGTCACCCTATCTCTGCCCATTAAATACTCCTGTGTCCGTTGTCCATAGCAAAAGCCTGCCCATACCATAACCCCACCGCCACCATGTGAAAGTGCATTCACAACGCTGATGTCAGCAAACCACTCATCCCCACAAGACACCACACACGCTGCCTGCCCTGAACAGTGAAAACTGGGATTCATCCATGAACAAAACGCCTCTCCAACATGCCAGACATCATCGGATGTCAGCATTTTGCCCACTCAAGTCAAATGACGAACTGCAGTCAGGTCCAGACCCTGATGAGGATGGTGAGCATGCCGAGGAGCTTCTCTGAGAGAGTTTCTAACAGTTTGAGCAGAAATTCTTTAGTTATGCAAATCAATTGTTGTTGCAGCTGTCTGGGTGGCTGGTCTCAGACGATCCTGGGGGTGGACATGCTGGATGTTGTTGCAGTAAATGAGTGGCTAAAATCTGTTTTAGAGCTGTAGCGAGGTACTCTGAGTAGAGACTTGAGGTCTCATTGAGACGACTTTGTAAAGTGGCTCTGGGGAGGACAGTCTGGGCCGTCCTGTCACGGCTGCAGCGCCCCCTACTGAAGCTGGGTACGCAGAAGACTGTGAGTCAAAGTACGACTCAGACACAATGTCTTTAGTTTACATGGAGAGACAGAACGTACAATTATACTCGAGACGCCCACTAAGGGGCACAGTGAGTCCTTTTGGGTTCAACTCCGACATTCCAGGTTTTATATGGATTTTCCCTCAGTGGTGCCACATTACTGCTCTGAGGGTTGAAACTTTATTATAAATAGTCTGGAGTGTTTTATTGTTGTTGTTATATGTGCTGCTGTAGCAAGTGAATTTCCCCACTGTGGGACTATTCTATTCTATTCTATTCTATTCTATTCTATATAAACCTAAAATACTGGAAATATTGGAGTTAATGTACAAAATGTGTAATCAGTTCATCCCCCAGCAGAGGAAACAAACATCTGCATTTCATTTTACGGGAATTCATTTAAGATTTTTGACTCAAATTACAAATGTCAGCTTCATAGCGGCACTAAAGTAAAAGCCAAAAGGTCACAGAAGTCATTAAATCACCCACTGAGCATCACGAGTTACCCTCACTTTGGCCTGATGTGGTTCGGGGGCTTTGGGTTAGTTCAGTGTTACGGTAAGCAAAATAAAACTATTTAATAAACAATTACTCAACAATTTTATCAGTAGAGAAAAAATCAGCAAGCAATCAACATCTTTGGGCTGTGGAAAATTAGCTTAGTTACACGGGTCAACAGTCTGGTGGTTACTATGGTAAACATGAAATTGGCATGATTTGGAGTCCTACTCATTAATAGTCATGCTACTTGGACATCTTGCCTCTGGCCAACAGCAACATGACTCTTCCACTGCTTCCATTTGCTCTGCAACACTGATGTTTTATCTCCATAAATTAAACAAGCCTGAAGGAGTTCTGCCATGTGGTGGAGGTGCTAATGCTAACTGTTAGCTTCTACTTGCCGAGATGTGCTCTGCTCTTGCCTGGCTGCTAAGTCAACAGCTCTCCCCGTCGCGAGCCCAGATGGGTGAGTCCATGAATACTAATTTACAGTGTAGCGTAGACCTGTCAGACTTACTGACCCAAACGTTTCCTCATCTATTTTCTATCAACAGCTAATGCAGGAAATAGGGGTAGAAAACCATGTTCTCATTCAGCATGCGTGTCTAATGATTTCAATTACATGTTATTTAATAAGCCATAAGGCGTAGGATTCCATATTAAATATGAAATAATAATAATAATGCATTGAACTTATATAGCGCTTTTCAAGACCCCCAAAGACGCTTTCACACACGCTCACATTCACACACTGCTAGTGATGGTAAGCAACTTGTAGCCACAGCCGCCCTGGGGCGGTCTGACAGAGGCGAGGCTGCCATTTGGCGCCGTCGGCCCCTCTGACCACAACTAACACAGGCAAGTTGGGTGAAGTGTCTTGCCCAAGGACACAACAGCAGGATGCCCCTGGCGGGAGCTGGAATCGAACCCATGACCCTCCGACATGAGGCAACCCGCTCTACCACCTGAGCTACTGCTGCCCCAGTAATCAACCTTATGGATCTGTGAGGTTATTTTAAACCAGAAGATTGGAACGTTTTAATGCAGGGATTAGATAACAGCTTCGTATTCACTCAGAGACAACAGAAGAGAGAGAGTCAAGTTTAAAAGTTTAAAAATTTATTAAAAACAAATTAAACTAGACTAACTTTAAACACTAAATGTATGGTGTAACTAAGGTGGATGAGACGGTGAATGGGGTGAGGTGTAATTTTGCTCAGAACCAGCAAATCCGAAGAAGCGATTAGTTCTGATGGGAACTGAAGGTGATGTCTTCGCGTTAAGCTTTGGTTAGGAGATTCATAAACACATTCGACACCATTTGCCGGTCTACATATCCTGAGTGGAAGTCCCCGTCTAGATCAGGAGGTGTAAAGGTCCATCTTGACCTTATGGAGCCGGAGCCCATAGAAGCAGCCACGGCAGCCGACCGCCAGTCTTGCGATACTTCCGCGTCACGACAATTTTGTTGGCGTCTGGTGAGACCCGCCTGGGTCTTGATGGTTCAGCTTTTATTCTGAAAGGAACCGTTGCAGCAGTTGGAACAGCAACAGATTTTATCCAGCTTGTCGTTGGTTCTTTTGGTTGAAGAGGAACGTTACGGACTGGCCACTCCGACAACTTCTCTAGAACGCTTTGAACTGGCGTTAGAGATGACGTGGGCATACTTTTATACTTCAGATGTTTTGGTTTATGGTCGAATGAAAAGTTGTCAGACTTACCAAACACCACCAAAACCACGCCTCTGTCAGATCTGTCAGATTCTGATTGGATCAGTGAAAGTAATGTGTCATGTCTTTTAACGCTACGTGAGATCAGTCCTGTTGGAACATTTTAAGTCATAGTACCTTTATATTCTATAGGATTATAATAAAGTAATTAATATTTTGATTTCACAGATTGGTCACATCTTATTTGTTGACTAACACTTGGTTGGATTAGCTTTATTAAAATAGAGTTCTTTGATTAATTAAAAGGAGAGTCCTTTCTTCATTCTTCTGTTGAGCTGAAAAGAAGCAGGTTAGAAGCAAATGCATGAGACATTGAGGCCATATCTCATGCAGACTAGTCCTGTGTCAGAGGAGAGGGGGAAACAGTCATTTCATTCCGTTTCAAGTGTGAAACTCTGTGATTGTACTTCAAAAAGAACAAATACTACACTT